TTACATCTTTTTGCCAGTTTGAAGGAGAATCTATTTATGAGGCATGGGAACAATTTAAAGAACTCTTAAGAAAGTGTCCACACCATGTTATACCAGATTGATTAATAATTCAAACTTTTTATAATGTATTAGCTGAATCTCTTAGATCTATTATCGATGCCACTGTTGGTGGTTCATTAATGTCAAAACCATTTAATGACGCTTATAACTTAATTGAAAAAAATGGCTACAAATAATTTTTAATGGTCTTCTAAAAGTGTAAATCTTAAGAAAGTAGTCAACATTCATGAAACTGATGTTTTTGCTATGTTAGCAAATCAAGTTGCTGCAATTTCAAGGAAGTTAGATTAATTTAGAATGAATTTTTCTCAACCAATTGCAATGATTGAAGTGAATTCATTAGGCTAAATGGTAGATTCTCAAGCGTCATTAGAAATTTTGAATGCCATAAACAATAAATAGAATAACTCATATTCAAACTATAATAAATAAATTCACATCCTTAAATAAAGCATGTAAATAAATTAAAATTAAAATATCTTAGTCATTGTTCTACCTCTCCCAAAATGTCTTCACATTTAGATTCATGACACTTCCTAATTTTGGATTTATTTCTTTTAAGAGAATACATCTGCTAATGGTTTTATCCTTAAGATTTTTAAAAATAAAAAAAAAAATCATCCTAATAATTGAATTTTAAGTTATGGATAATTTTTTTCCTTTGATTAAAAGCCAGCCTGTAGAGGACAATATCACTCTTAAGAATGTTTACATTTTTACATAATATGGCATACATGCATTCACATGCAAGAGATATTTTTAGGGAAACACTCATTAATTTTGAAGTGATAAAAATTTAGGTGTCATATATCAATTGTGGATAGGTGATCTACTACCCAGTATTTTGTTCTTTTTCTATCACAAATATCCATCTTAAACTCTTGCAATAAAAGAATCAAACATATTAGTGTAGGATTTGTTTCTTTCTTAATTACTTGGTATTTAAAAACAGCATGTTATATGCAAACAATTACTTTAGTGCCAATCAAGTAAGTCTTAAAATTATCAAAGGAAAAAAAACTATAAATAATAGTTCCTTTTTCAGTGCTTACGTAGTTAACTTATACTTCAATTAAAGTTCTTCTAGTATAATTTATAACATGTAAGACCTTATTTCTCTTTCGGCTTAAAGTAGCACCTATAACAAAGTTTTTAGCGTCACATTTTTATTTAAAAAATTTATCCAGTCAAGTGATAAAAATTATAAGTGCAGTGACTAGTTGAGTTAATAGAGTTTGAAAAGCTTCTAAACATCCTTTCATAAATTTTTGAGCGGTGTCCTTCTCTAACAGATGACATAAAGGTTTACCTATTTAAAAAATTCATAATAAATCTTCTATAAAAACTTTCATGGCCTAAGAGGATTCTCTAACTCCTATAATTATGTTGGGTAGAAGAAGTTTTTCTATCATCTCAATCTTGGATTTATCTACTTCCAATCCTTCTCAAAAATATTATGTTCTAATACAATCTCATTGGTCACTAGAAACTAGAATGCACTTTAATTTAATAGTAAACTAGTTTTATAACATTGATTAATAACTAAGGCCAAATGCTGGAGGTAATTATCAAAGGATATTCTAATAATTGAAAAATCATTCATGAATATTTTAATGATCCGCTCAATCAAATCTAAAAAAGTTTTACATCATACATATTTAAAAATTGGAGAATTGTAGAGACCAAATGTCATTATTTTAAAGGCAAATGTGCCATAAGAACTGATAAAGGTATCCTTTTATTAATCCTTATAAGCAATGAAAATTTGGTGGTATCTGTCATCTAAAAATAACAATATAATGCTCTATAAGTGCTCAGCAATGACCTAAGGAGATAAATTATATAATTAGGGTGTGGTGATGATGAAGTTGGCCATCATAGTGATTTGTTTGTTTTGATCCCCTAATATAATTGGAAGAGATATGATTCTCACTGGTTCTTTCTTTTCTTTGGAGAAACTAAAGTATGGTACATGCATAGAGCTCAATTTGGAGTACCATAGATTTATTTTGTCATATACTTACATGAAGATGATGTTTATGGAGCTATCTATGTTGATTAAAATTCTACCAATATGATAATTAGTGCTTTGTATGGTAACAACTGTGACATCATTATAAGAGTTTCAACTAGTGGGAAGACAATAATCAATAATAAGTAATATGAGGTAAAAAAGGCACACCTAATATTAACAAACATACTAGGTTTAACACTTTCTAAATAAAACTATTTGAGATTGGATTGATGTGAGGCATCGGCTCTAGCTCTTCTCAAGATGGTTAGAAATTTTTTTTTCTATATGGATGACTTGTGTTAATCTAAGTTCATTTCTACTACTATCCTCCATCGAGAATTTTTTAACACTTTCTTTGTTATTGATTTAGTGAGTACAAATTCCTTCAATTTGCTCAATTTTATTAGCCCTTCTATGAGTGTTTACATCTCTCCAAGTCATATTTATAGTCACGATGGTAGATACGGTACTTTTCATGAGTATATATAGATGGTTGGATGCCCATTTTAGTACTAGTTTCTTGAAGTATTCTTTATTTGGGATGGCCTCGACTAATTTGGCCATTGAGTACTCAAAGGGGTCCTGGCCAATGGATGATGTCCCTAGGTTGCATCTTAGACAATCCATATGCCCCAATAGTTATCTCTTGAGCTAAACCTTTGTCTCAGATTATCACCACCTCTAATTTTCCATATGTAACCACATAGATTTTTTTTCTTTTTTTGTTTTACCTTTATTCTTCTTTGTGAAGAGCATATCTTTTTTGTTGGTCGTTGCCTCTAATAGTCCAGTCTCATGGATGATAAGTGTCACGGTTGTATTCCTTCATAATGATATTACTATTGGAAAGTTTGAGTCAATCAAATTAAGTCTAAATCTATTATAAGCATGGCGCACGCCATAGTGCCTCTTCTTTGATGCCTTATAATAGAACGATGTGTGAAAATACCAGTTCAATGTATTTGACCCCCAACAACTCCTGTAAATAAGTGATGAAGCTTATCAACATCTCCTCTGGATTTTGGCACATTCATGGTTGAGTTTGCAAATTCTTCTAGGTTATTTTTGTGCTAGTAAACTGTGCAGGAAAAATTTGTTGAAATCTATGAATGAAGTGATTATCCTATGAATTAGACTGGTAAACCACTTTAATATATGCTCTTTTAAAGTAGTAAAGAATAATACACTTGAGCACATTGCTTATGTTGAGAGGCGAGGTGGCGGGTTCTAAGGAAGTCATGTGGTCGAATAGAGTTGTTCACTTTTCGTATAAATTTTAGACTGGCACCTTAAAACATTTTGTTAGCCATCTCCATGGAAAATGTATTCTTCGATGCGAGCAGCTTCCCTTCTTGGGTTGATATTCATGTTGCAAGGATGATGTATCGTATCTTGGATAGTTGGCGAAATTATCCTCCTTTACTTGGGTTGAGGATTGTGCTCGTGGATTTTCACAATTTCTATGTCTTATGAACGAGGACAAAGTCTTAGTTGGTATCTCTACTATAGCCACAATTTATGAAAAAATTCTTGATAGACTCTCACGCCATTATCACGACTCCTTCAAAATCAACTAGTTACTATGCCACAATTTTTCTCGTGTTATCCATATGGAATGATGATTCCTTATCTTAGTGTTATGGGTCTCTCTAAATTCCCATTCTAGTTTATGGAATTTTCCACTCTCACCTCATCTTTCAGAATGGTGAACCCATTTTCCTGATAAGCACACCATATGTTGCAGTTGTAGAGCTTAATGTTAAAGACAAGAGAAGCAGTTCATTGTCCTCAAAAGAACATGAAGAAGAAGATCATTTTCTCTCATTTGAAATGTTTATTTATACAAGAGATAAGTCATGAAATCAGATCCTTGCACACCTCCTTAAGAAAAAAAAATCTCTCTCTCACAATGTTTACGATCTAGCACATCTCATTGAATGTCAGAGTAAGCAAAAAATTCTTGCCAACTTCTTCCTGAACACATAGAGTGTGTTTGGGGCAGCGGTATGGTAGCGGTGTTGTGTTGCACCATAGTTTTTTTCTGTTTGACAAACTGTGTTTTGTCTACGTTCTCAATAACTGCAGCTGAAAACTACGTTTTCCCACAAGAACTGACTATCTGCAGAGGTTACTAAAAAGTTGCGTCTGACTTTTTCAAAAAAAAAATTCACGTAATAGTCACCACAGTTTTTTGAACTGCAGCTTCTTCGCAATTTCACAGCTGCTTCTTCAAACCGTTGCAGCTGCCCCAACAGACCCTTAATCTATTCTCTATCCTATCTCTCAAATCTTCTAGGAAAGACTAACTCAAGTTCAATGGGAAGCTCAATCTGAGAGCTGCTGAAAGAAAGATATGCTTTCTAGGGTAATAGTTTGTCTTTCCACAATGGTTTGGAGAGCAAATTTACCTTGGTATGTGCTCTCTCATTATTCTTGGACACCCTTGGCTTGAATCAAAATATTTTGAATGATAATTATGCGGAGCATTATCACAAATATGGGTGGAGAGCTCCATGAGTGATGTGTCTCACGTGTTTACATTATGTATTTATAAATTAGAAAGATAAATATGTATTTTATTTATATAATATCATAAAATTTCAATAATATACAATCTTCCCTAATATTAATTTATCTAAAATTAAAAAGATATTTCAAATGCCTATTTTTTGATGTTATTAATACCTTAAAATAATATTAAAATTTTAAATATTAAAAATATAAATACCCAACAAAATTGGTACCAGGGTAATCATTTTATTAATCTGAAGCTCACAGGGCACAAAACCCTGCAATTTTCACAACTAATTTGAGTTGACTGCGCTGCGAAAAGCATGAATAACAACCTTATCTAATTAGTTTTGATATTCAATATTTCAATTCAGTAACTCCAGAGAGAGAGAGAGAGAGACACACACAACAATTCAAAGCTAACGGCTATCTCGCGAACCGCACCTCCAAAACCATGGAATAGTACAGCCATGTCCAAATTTCATGAGATTCCACCCAACCCCTACCTCTCCTTCTTCCTATTAGAGATGGCAAACTGCAGCTTCTCCATAACTTGCGACTTCCAATGCCTCGCCGACCGAGAGAAATCTCCGTCGAGACCGATACTATAGACTTCATCGACTCCTTCTTTGAAGGCGTCGGTGACTTGAACGAATTCACGGATCCTGCCACTGAGCCCAGGTTCAAATCAAAGAACCTCGATGCCGAAAGGAGGAGGAGGACTAAGCTGAACCAGCAGCTCTTCTCTCTCCGTGCTATGGTCCCCAAGATCACAAAGGCACTCCTTTTCTTTTCTCCCTCTTATTAATTAAATCTCCATTCATAAAAAGTTCAATTTTTTATTCTATAATTCCTTAGATGAGCAAGGAGTCCACGCTCACTGATGCCATCGACTACATCAAACAGCTTCAGAAGCAGGTAGTTGATTTGCAGATTGAGCTCTCCAGTGTTCAGACAGAGGAAGGGGAGAAACAGGGAAGCTCTTCAAGCACGGAGACGAAGGCTCTCCAAGATACAGTGAGGTTCCAGGTATGTTTCCTCTTGAAAACAAATTTAAAAGATTGGATATTGCAGGCAAAAGTAGGATTAAAAAAGGCAACAATTTGTTATTGAAAGGGAATGTTGGAATTGAGTCCTATGGGGCAGAACAAATTCCATTTGAAGGTTACTTCGGAGAAGAGGATCAATGGATTTACAAAGCTCCTGGAAGCCATTAGCCAGCTTGGACTTGAGGTCAGTGATGTGAGCTCTGTAGCTTTTTCTGGGATTTCGCATGGAGTTCTATTGCTTGAGGTGAGTTCATGTTTATTGTTAAGAGTTGATTTGTCCATGAAGCCGTTGATGATGCTGAAGGAAAAAAAAATGGCATTATCAACCTCCTCCTGCTGCTCCTCCTCTCCTTCTTCTTCTTCTTCCATTCACTTCTCATTTTTTTTGGCTGCAGAGCAAGGATGAAAATGAGATTCAAATTGGCGATGTCAAGAGGATTTTGTCTTCCGCCATCGATGCGCCTTAGTACAGCTTTGAACTCTCCCACTGTGGTTACTGAGCAACGAACAAAAAGAAAAATCAAATTGTTTGATTCAAAGAGGATTTTATCTAGTTGTTTGGCGCTTTCTCAGGAACGATTTGATTTCATTTATGATGAATCGTTTTTCCCTTCCATGTGAAAACACGAAATTGAGTTTCATATTTTAAATAAAGTATGCATTCGAGATGCTATTGATGTATGTGGATATTTCGAAGTTAGAGATGGTGTTCTTCTAATGTATTTAAGGCATTTGTAATCTAACATATAAGGTATTGAATCCATATTTTTCTGTGAGTCACACCTAAGGAATAGAGCGTGAGAGAATAATAGAAATGTAAGGGGAGGGAGGGAGGGGACCTACAATCTCTAGAATGAACAGTAAAACCATGTAACCCTCTTCATTTAATGCTACATCTATTTATAGAAGATTTAATACAATAATGATATTATGTTTTTACCCTCATTGGAAGAGAGTTTATATTGTGATATTCTTGATATTTTAAAAGTGATGACTTGTCGTCCAGTCGAGTTTTGGTTTGACTAAATAAGCTTAGTTAGCTTGGCTCGACTGTGTTAGTTCGGTAGGTAGAGTTTGGTCAGTAGGGTTCGGTCAGCTAACCCAGCCTGGCAAGCTATCTTCAATCCCTGGCACGATGTCTTTTGGCCTAAACTGTATAAGATGCTTTATGGAAACAACTCTTCCATTAGGTCGCCTCTACTATGGGATAAATAATTGCATCGAGTTAGCTTTCCTTTAGTTGATGTCTTGGACACCCTCACAACTCCTTTCCAAATGAATGGCATTTAATTGGATTGCTTGGCCATTTTTATGTAAAATTTTTGTCTCAGTCTGATCTGACCTAGTTGACATGGCTCATCTAGCTTGACTCATCTAGCTTGGTGTACCTCACCATCTCTTTGTAGAGGATTTGCCTCCATTATATTCTTCTCTTTTGGACTATTAGATCTCTGTAAAATCATCACAAAGACATTTTTTATGTACATATTTTATTTCTCTGATTCTCTTACTTTTTGAAAGTGATGGTACTATAAGAATAAAAGAACTAAATGCAAAAAATAGATCTCATTCAATTTTAATCAATGACTCAATGACTAAACTTCCTTAATTTTGGAGGCTTTGATTTTTATAAATAGGGAGATGTGATGTCTTCCCTTTCCTACTTTACTCTATATTTTTTTTTAAGTCAGTAGGCTCTCATTTCTTAGTTGTTGTGATTGAGAAATTAACAAAGGCTTGGGTCGACATCCTCCACAAAAAGCTTGATTCATGCAGTTTTTTGAAAATTAAGGCTAGGACAACCATAAGAGTGAAAAGATGAAGAAAATCACTTTGAAGAGGAAGAGGATTGTGCTTCAGCTACCAAAATTGTTGGGATCATCTAATATGATCCTTGGAACAATGCAAGAGAATATTTTTCCAATTTGCTTGATTCTTGATCTGACCGTTCAACTTCCTGCTATGGTTCAAGGACCTTTGACTAATCAAGCAACTCAAGTGGCTTTTAATGCACTTTCGTCCCTTTCCTGGATGTTTCTTCGTGGTGAGCTTACCGCGTCGATTGTAATGTATGAGTTGATTTAGTTGTTGGGTATGAGAGACTTTTTTCTTGTGTTTCTATAGACTAATCTCTTAGGTTCTGATTTAATTTTTTTATGATAATTTTTTTTGTGCAGATGATCCGACTCCATAAACCTAGATGAGGGTTCGACGATGCCATGGACATTGGTATCCATCGACTATAACCAACCTCATAACTAGGAATCCCACTAGAATGTCGTAGCATGTAGGATTCGTAGTTTCAAAGCGATCACAAATACCTTCATTAATAACTATGGATTACTTCATTCTAAAGTATTTCCTTTAGTTTCAAGGGGTAGGTTTATTATTTTGTAGGTCCTAGTCCTTAGCACTAACTAAGGAACCTATCAAAGTAACCTAAGTTCTTATAGTCAGACTAACCTAGGGTAAGTGTATGATCTTCAGTTTGATGTCTAAGTTAGCTGACCTAAGGTTCATGTCTGATCAACCTAGGTTTTGCTATCATTTTTTATCTTGGTGTATTTTAAATGTTATTTGAGTTTTAATATTTAATTCATGTTTTGTTTCCAATCATAGGTTTGTTAGTCCTTGTGAGAAATTAAAGTTTTCCCAAGTTTTGAGTTTGTTTTATTTAAAATTTGATTTTTTATGTTTATGGAGAATTAAAACAATTCTGTGAGAGGTTTTTGTTATAATTTTTGTTTTATGTATTATTATTTTTATTTATTATTTTTGTTATGTTATTGAAAACTACACATGAAATGAAACACAAAATGACATATAAAACAAAGGAAACAACATATATTTAGCCTTGGATTAGACTTAGGTTAGGATTGCGCTAGAGTAAGCCAAATTTTAGCTCGTGTCAACCTGTTTGGGGTGGTCCAAGTTGACTTAGGTCAGACTTGAGTTGGGCTAGATTGACTTCAGTTGACTTGGGCTGACCTGGATTAGATTTGGGTTGGCAGGCTTGCTTGTTTTTCTTGGGTTAATCGGGTAGGACCTGGTTTAGCTCAGGTCAAACCAGGGCTAAGGCAGGTGGGACCTAAGTTGGGGGTTGGGTCTAGGGCTGTCAAAAAAGCTCGTTATTTGCAAAAAGCTCATGTTCGGTTCGTTAAGTAGCTCGTGTTCAACTCGTTTGTTAAGTAAACAAGCCGAACACGAATAAATTTTTAAAGCACGAATTATAAACGAGCCAAACACCAACAGCTCCTTGTTTGCTCATGTTTGACTCGTTTTAGGTTGAAATAAAAAAATTATATAACTATTTATATAACAATATATTACATATATTGTTTATATAATAATATATTATATATATTTATGTCTAAGTTTAAATCATAACACCTCATGTGGTAATGTGGTTAATGCATTCTTTTGTATATATTTGATCCAGGTTCGAATCCCACACTTTACATCTATTTTTCTCAATTTAAGTTTAACGAGCCAATTTTGAGCTGAACACAAACACGAATATTTTAATCGAGCCGAACAGGAACACACTGTTCACGAGCCGATTTCAAACATGAGCCGATTTCGAACACGAGCTATTTCAAACGAGCCGAAGAATGTTTTCTTCCTTCTTCTTTCTCTGTTAGAGTAGTCTAAGGTAAGTGCTGGAGTCTGTGAAGAATGGAGAGCGTAAAGTGTAGTGTACCGAAGATACCTATGTATAGGCTTGGAAGGTGGTGGTAGAGACCTCCATGGCTGTCTATTTGGGCGGTCAGTTGACAACCATGATTTGTTCAACAATTAAGTATGTCGCAAATCGCTGTTAGCAAAATGACACGACGATTCGTGCTTGGATCCGTGGATGAAGGCCTCGAATCACAAAGCATGGCATGGGAAGTGATCACATAGGGTATGTCTGGGCATGGTTATGCCCAGAGCTAGGCATGACCACGTCGAGATATGCTTGGGTGTGGTCACACTCAGACTAGGCATGACCACACTGAGGTATTTTTGGGTGTGGTCACACCTAAGTCTGGCGTGATCACGTCAAGCAATAAAAAATTGGGCATGCACATATTTTGCTCAGTGGAACTACTCCAGACCAAAGGGTATTGCTCGCTAAGTCATATGTGACACAAATTATTGTCAACAAAGGGACCCCCAATATGTTTGTTGAACTGTTCAAAGTAAGCACACATATTGGGGTTGACCAAAGTGATCAACTAGGTTTGAAGGATATATGATTCAATTTAGGTATGTGATACACAAAAAGTATATACATTTTTAGACCCATATTTTTGGTGATATTACACTTTAATTGAAGGTATTTTTTATGTTTTATTGCAGGTTTGAAGCAAAAAGGATGAAATTTAGAGTCAAAATGAAGAATTTTTAAAAAAATTTCAGCTCCGACAGCGCCAGACTGGGCGTCGATAGCGATGTTTGACAGAGAAGGTGAATTAAATTAATTGGCCTCTAGCGCCGACGGCTCCAGTGTCGGTGCAGCCCTGTTTCTAGAAGATTCAATGAATTTGGACGTTTTTTGAAGAGCTTTTTTATGCACATATTGGGGAACCGACCTTAGGCTCTATTTAGGGCCAAAATTTGATCAGAACCCCCCCGCACCATTTCACATTCTTCCACTCAATCAGTTTTCCTCTTCGCACGCCTACATTCCACGCCATTTCACACCATTATTTAGTTATTGTCTTTATAGTTTTGAGTTTTTGTGATGAGTTTAAGTGTGAATTCTTCTCTAAGAAGTGTTGGAGATGAAGAGAAATGAGAGATTTCTTCTTCCTACATTTCTTAAGAAAGGCTACAAAGAATTTGCTTTGAGAAAGAGTTTCAGATAGGTGTTGTTTGTTTATTATAGTTGTATGAACTTTCTTTTATATATGAAATTTATGTTTTGTTGTAGCTTTCTCATAAAGTCTGAGTAGATTCTTTTATCTTTCTCCCTATTCTGAGATGTGGTGAAATGAAGAGATAATTTAGATGTGTCAATGTTAAAATTTAAAATAAATTGTGATGGTTTTTCAACTCCACTCTTAATTTACTTTTGGATCTGACCAATTGAATTATTAAAATATATTGTGAAAGTAATTTCATTTGATTTCTGTGAATTTTCTAGTTAATTTATCATTTCAAATTTAAACCTTCCCCGTGGGATAGATATTTGGGATTTAAACAAAAAGTCTTATATTACTTGATAACGATATGTATACTTGCGTAGAATCTTAATCTTAAGAGCTTAACATTATTATTACTAAAATACCACATCAAGTTTTTGACACCGTTGTAAAGCAGAGTCAACTTTATAAATTTTACACAACTATATTCAAGTGGGATCATGTTTTTGGCACCATTTTTGGGGAAGGTAAAGGTAAATTAAATAAATTTGGTACATTAGGAAATTTAGAAAGTATAGATATATATATATATACAAATTATGTGAAATATTAGATCTGAAGGTTTAGTATCTTACGATTCAGAATTAGAATGTATTATTAGAAAAGTTTGAAAACAATAAAAAGAAATTAAAAATTTGAATGTATGGCGAATAACTTAGATAATCAAATAAATGAAAATCGACAAAGATTTTTAAAAGATTGTGTTAATCCAACAACAGATGAACTTCACTTGACTATTCAAAATCCTGAAATTGCTACTAATTCATTTGAGCTTAAACCTGCTATTATCAAAATGATACAAAATGATCAGTTTAGAGGAACACCTGCTGAAGATCCTAACTTACATCTTGCTAGTTTTCTTGAAATTTGTGCTACTTTTAAATATGACGGACTGCCTAATGATGTTGTTAGGCTACTTTTTACTTTTTCATTAAGGGATAATGTCAAAGCTTGGTTAAATTCATTAGCACCTTAATCTATTAAAATTTGGGGAGAACTTATGACAGCAACTTTATATATGCTTAAAAATACAAGAATTTGATACTGCTAGAAGATTTAAATCTCCGGCAACGACGCCAAAAACTTGACAGCGACTTTATATATGCTTAAAAATACAAGAATTTGATGCTACTGCAATAAATTTAAATCCCTGACAACGGTGACAAAAACTTGACAACAGTTATAGATTTGATAAAGATGTGTAAAAAATATTCAATAATTGTAAAATCACACTTATCAATGCAAGTATACGTATCACTCAAGTAATACAGAGCTCTAATGAAGTCCTGGATATCGATCCCACAGGGAGTAATATTAGAGGCTACGAACTAAGATTTAAAAAATCAATACTTAATCACAACAATATAGTTCAAATTGCATATTCTAATAGACAATTGAAATAAAAATGTAATTTTAATAAACTCTTAATTAACTAATTCTACTAATAAAATTTCTAATGTGAAGTTCAATATATATATCAGATAATTGTTTAAAGACAACTAATTATTCTTATGATTTAATAGCTGTATGATTTTAATTAATATAAATCATTTTAAAACTTATAAAGATAATATTTATTTCAAATTAAACTAAATTACTTATATTAATGATTTCATTTTTGTAATATTTTAATTAAACCTAAAAGTATAATATAATAACCACATGAGTTTAAAAATATAAAATGGCTTCAATTAAAAATGTATTAGTACTTCTTTAATAAACGAATAATCACAGTAAACCTGTAGAACCACTCAATTCCTATGTATGTATAACATATCCACCGCCCAAACTTCAATTTATATGAATGAAATGGTGGAACAGAAAAACTTTCTTAATCTAACCTTAGTTAAAATTTGTAGAAGGAAAGCAGCGCAACATCCGAAAATAGGGCAAATTTCGAACAATAACTCTAATAAATGTAAACCTTCATAGGTTGAAGTAAATGATATCATGCAAAGAGGTGTGAAGAAAAGATGTATAAGTGCATAAAAAGCCACGAAGAATGATGGGGATTAAGAGCTTCAATTTTAGAAAAAATTGAAAGAATAAGATTCATTATTTAGAGAATCACGAGTCTTTTTATAATAGTAAGAGGCGCGCCAATATCAAAATAAGCCCAAATGAAAAGAATATGAACATGACCTCATCATTTGCATTAGTCATGCCTCTAAAGCGTTTATAAACACAAACTATTTTATAACATTGAAGTATATTAAGCCTTATATATATATATATATATATACATAAGCAAAAGGCAAGAAAAATATTCTGCTAAAAAAACAAACATTACATATGGTGGCTGAGAGAAACAAAGTGGACAGCTAAACCCATGACTTCTGTAACTGCGCATAAGCCATGCATCCCGACCTGGTGGTTGACATCGACGGTATAAGACCACTTAAGCCAGGGGTTCAAATCCCCTCTAACACAGTTGGCCTTAAGCAAGAGGTACTCGAATTGTTAGGCATATTGGGGGTGGCTGGAAGCTTGTATAATACCTACCCTCTGGTCATCCCCTTTTCAGGAAAAAAAATACATATATATAATCTATATGTAGGTATATATATATATATATATACATACATCCATTCAAACCGCCTATAAAGCTAGAGATACGTCTCAGCGCGCACAAAATGGTTGAATAAATGAAGCTAAAGCCTGTTTAACTATAAAAAGACACAGGCCTAGGCCAATACAAAGATACAAGTAAATTGAACTGCTGACAATAAAAAGTATGCAGGAAATGAAAAAAAATATTTCCATCTAGTTTCCATGCCGCAACAATGAAGATAACCTCTGCGGTAGAATGTAACAAAAAAAAAATAATAATAATAATAAAACATCAAATAATCACACATTCTGTTCTAAAACAAAATACAGAAAACCAAGAGAAACTGCAGCCACTTCAGCGACCATAGAAAAAGGACTTCGTTAATCCTAAAACGACAGTTTCATCAACTCCAACATCTTCAATTTGACAGCACATATATCTTGAAACTTGAGAAGTAATGAAGACTGAGAACTCAACAGTTTTCTTAATACATCAGTAGAGTTCCACAACTGTAGAGATCCAGATATATTTTCTCCCAATTCTGCATGGCTAGAAGATGCAAACTCCTCAAGAATGTGAAGAGTTGATCCCGGTCCTCTATCCTTCTGCATTTCTTTCACTTGACATGACAAAATGTCCAATCTTGAATCTTCTGAACAATTCATTTGATCCTCCAGCCATTTATGAACTTCTTGTATCCCACTAGCTAAGCAATCTATGGATTTGCTTACTACTGCTAGATGGCGCAAGTTATGATGATCGCAAGGACCACTTTTCTTTTTCTTCTTACCTGAAGGAAGCATTGATCTCAAGCAGGATTGGATGACCAAAGCATGCCAACTAAATGGTTCGGTTATCAACTGGACCAAAACTGGAAGGCTACTTCCAGGATTATCCAAAACTGGGTGTGCACACATCAACAGCTCTGAAATACAGTACTTAATCAAGCATTCCACCACATTCCATGATATTAGATTTACGCCGTTTTGATGGAGGAGCAATGGATGATTATGGCTTAAGTTCCATGCATTTAGAAAAACTGCGAAGTTCATAAAATCAACCATCAACTCTGTATCAACATCCTGCATATGCCAAGAGTTATTGCAAAGGAAGATGGATTTTATATTTTTGGATACAACTGAAATTAAAAAGAATTTGATTTGAAATTTTTATTCTTTAAAAAAAATAATTCTAAAGAAAATTAAGTATTGGAAATAGGTATTGGAAAACCTGCGACCAAAAAATAAAAAGAAAAGATGGACATGTTTCTTTCAGTATATGCTTCATTTCATTTCTATTTAGAGGGCAAGCTTGCAAACAGTGGCTAACCTTTGATATATAATGGAGGTTCTCAATTTAAAGCAAATACTTAACCTCTGTAAATATAGAGCAAAAGCAGCATACAAGAACCCCTGCATTGACCAATGCATAGGGCATGCGTAACATTTCTATTTGGTTATCTTCCTTTTTATTGAAATGCGCAAGCTACTCCACTTTTACAAAAAGATGGAAGGACTGATTTTGTTTTCCTTTTCCCTTTCCGTTAAACTAAATTTAAGAGCCGTCTCTCTCAGAGAAATGACTACAATTACACTTAAATTTTCTACTTAAAATCCTAATAAAAATTGAGATATTAATCACTTTTAAATTTTAATTGAACTAAGAACAATAACTCAAACAGTTGACAGCTTTTCATAATTTACAATATCATCACCCAGAAAAGATTTTCAGAGTCTTCTTCAAGATATTGCAATTTATTGTAATTTGTTTTATTTTTTATTTTGTTTTATCTTTTATTTTATTTTTTATTTTCTCTATGTGGTACTCAAAAGAATCTATTAGAATTTACTCCAACAATAATTCTAACCTTTTATGATACTCAAATTAAAGAATTATTGTTTATTAAACAAAATATCTACCTTGCAATCCTACTTTTGCACCCTATAGTAGGAATATTGATATAATTTATCATAGCTTTGAGATAATACTTAGTGCACTTTTCTTCATAGTTCATTCAATGATGCTTTATTCCTAATTTTGAGGGAGAAAATGTATAATAAAAGGTTCGTGCAATATGATGAAAATTTCTCTAAAAATTCCCTTCATCGTCCTTCTATATTTAAGATCATTAACGAATTCCAACATTGCATATGACGATATTTGATTTCGAACATTCCTCATATTTACATGACAACAAAATTACATGGAGTACAATTACTTATATATTCAAAACTAGGAGCATATGTCTATTATAACCATTCAATAATATCTTTTGAAAAATTCACATACATACCACTCAATTCGTATTTATTTACATATCTAACAGTTAAAAGTTATAACAGGAAATAATTTATTCCTGTGAGAATTTATAAGGAATAAATATTTACTTTGATTGAATCTATTTCTTTTCCTATTTTTATCTTGTTTCCTTTATCTTCAAATAATTATTATGAACTGATTAATTGGAGCTGGTAGGTGTTATCTCTTTCCTTTTCTGTTATCTCCTTTTTTATTGTCTTTCCTATTTCAGGATTCATGTAATGTATATTTATAATCCCTTGTGATATCAATAACATAATTCCACATTATCCTGATTTTCAAATGGTGTAAGAGCCTAATTTTGTACCGCTATCCCTTGTGATATCAATAACATAATTCCACATTATTCTGATTTTTAAATGGTGTAAGAGCCTAATTTTGTACCGCCGGACTCCTTTCCTGCCATCCTTCGTGCGGGAAGGGAGGTGCACTTGTCTTAATATTTAAACAGCAACTTTTGATTCTTCTCTCCCTGTAGACTTGGCCTGCCTTCCCAAGCTAGAAGCTTAGACTTTGCCGGCCTCCAGAAAGCAAGCAGCAATTTCTCAATATTTTTTCTTCCTGCTGCTTTCCTTCCGTAGAGATCTATTACATGGAGAAATTTCTACTGTTGGCTGCCCAACAATTTTTTTCCCATAAAAAACTATTATATATCTATCGTATAGATCCATAGCCGCCGGTTCCCCTAGTTGTCGCTGTTTTTCACCCTAACTGTCGTCGGTTCCCCTCTTCCCTACTGGTTTTATAAACGTTGTTGACACCGATTCTTGCAGTACGTAATTCCAGTCGTCAGACCTCCCTTCGCTTAAGAGTCGATCCCTGAATTCCAATCTTGGACCTTGTCACGAGAGACGTCCGTGAGATCCTCGTCAAGGGTATATTGTGTGGCAACCAACCGTGGATTACTACCAACCTCTCACCGGCAACCACTCTCGGCAATATTTCTGTCGGACCTCTATTGGTCTGCTCTCCCTCTCACCGGCGATCGTTCTCTGATGAGTGATAGCTTCTTTGTTGTCTCTCCCAGCCGAAGAACTTTCCTGTTGTTCTTCCCCGCAGGAGCTTCCCGCTCTTCTTCCCTCCATGACCTTCCCGTTGTTCTTACTTGGAGGACTTTCCCGCAGGAAAGAAAGCTATTTTTTCTATTGTTTTTCCCAGTTGCAGGAAATAATGCAGATTTGTTCCGGAAATGCAGCTCTGCTTCCTGTAATTTCCTACTGCTCTTCCACAAAAATCCAGCATTAGTTCTTGCAGCCTGATCAGTCGTCGACCCTTTCTCCTGCAATATTTTTCCCTTCTCAGCGCAGGCGTCACGGGGAGCTACATTTCCAACAGTTTTTTCTTTTGTAGCTTTCTCTGTCAGCAGAAATCTCTGGTGTGACTTGCTTTTTCTCTCTCTTGTGAAAATCTCAATCGACAAGCCGCCACTGATGTTTGAAGAGCGGGACTTTCTCTTTTCAGTGGCACTCTCAACTGAAGATAAGCTATTTTCCTAGATAGGTCTCTGCAACAAAGGTGGACAAAGGTGATGAGCTATTTTTTGCCATCCCCCCCCCCCCCCCCCCCCAATGCAAGTTTCAACTATTATTGCTTCCTGTAGGAAATTACAGTTACAGCCTCCTCCATAGCGTCTTTCATCATTTCACATATGTGGATTGTAGAAACGAAGGGAATCTTCCTACAAAGGAGTTGATTGTTGGTTTGCTTGCAAAATGACTTGAAAAAAGCTACTATAGAGGCAAGACTGGGTGTATCTTTGAATGGAATCCCAATAGTCGACCTACATGCCCTTCTCTGTCGGTTTCTTCCCTGCTGCCGGAAATCTCCATGCCGGTCCTTCTCTATGTTTTCTTTATCACCAAAACTCTCTCTGCAAACTTCTTCTTTGTAGAAACTCTCCTGTCCAGCAACAACAGGGGCAACTAGTTCTCTCCCTATAAGTTGAATTTATTTCTCGCCTATTTTTTAATGTTTCCTTTTATCTTTAAATGATTATTATGAATTGACTAATTGGAGATATGAGGTGTCATACCTTTCATTGTTTGTTATCTCCTTTTTATTTTTTTTCCTATTCTAGGATTCATATAAGGATAAATTATAACTTCTCGTAATATCAATAACATAATTCCACATTATTTTGAACACTAACACCGAAATTTTCAATTTTATACATATACTACATTTCATATGCAAGAAACCATGTATTAAACTATTTAAAAGTTAAAAAGTGGTATCTTTGATGTGATATAAACGATTTGAGTGATATAAATATAAAAAACAAAGTTTAGCCGTTAGATATGTAATTACATATGAATTAGGTGGTATGTATGTAAATGCCCAATATATATTTTGTGCATCAGAAGTAAACGAGAAGGCGCCAACAAACCTTTTCCAAAGCGCTTGCAAGCATTCTATTCTCTCAAGTTTCCTTATGCCCCGGCAGTCAATAATGATAAAAAAAATGCAATAAAGAACTACGAAAAATCATACCTTCAAAGACCTTTGACCATTTGAAATCTCATAGATCAGCTTTACAGCATCATCAAATGACAGACCGACACTCGATGCATATTTTTCCAGTAAAAACTTGAACTCTTCATTGCTCTTAGCATCTTCTCCAGGAGCGTTAGATTCAAAAGTTTCCTTCAGTGAAGTGGAAGTTGAGTGAATTGAAAGGTAGATCAAACGAGGAACAAGAGATTTACGTGCAATGACCTTCCTCACTAAGCCGTCGTTCTCACAAGCTTGATGCTTAAACTGGAGATAAATATAAGATCAAAGAGCATAAATTAACAAAAACTACATGTAATGAACAAAACTCAATCCATATTTATCAATGCAAAATCTGAAAGTTAGAACATGGCACTCTCCAACATTTCTTCTTTTGTTCTGCCAATATTTCCTGCACAAGCGCATTGTCATCCTACTCTAAGGCGTCCTTTGTTAACCTCACAACAATGACGGAACCAGTTGATATTTTTAACAAGTAAAAAATAGGCGCTGCTGTCCCCATTGTTTCCCTTTTTCTACCACTCTAAATAATGCATCCTTGGTTAACCTCAGAATGATGACTAAACCAATTTATATTTCTAACAAGAAAAAAGTAGGCGCTGCTGCCACCATTGTTTCTCTTTTGCAGCCACTCGAATCTGTCACTTCTACCAGCATAACGTTAACTATTTGTAAGTGAAAATATTCTTTATAATTTGAAATGTTGGTCCAATCTGACTGGTGATTGAGTTCGTTTAAAAAAAATAATCTGAAATATTTAAATATTTGCGTATATATACCTACAGTTGGAATAAGCAATGAGAGCAAGATTCAAATTCACTGTATTTTTAGCATCATGGTGTCAACAGCCATATTGTCGCTTATTATGCACCATCAGAGAAAATATAATACAAGCATAAACCAACAAGAGCTGCGTTCGGCATTGTTCTTTTCATTTAGCTGTACTGTGCTGCATAAAATTGCGGTGTCATGCCACTTAAAACTGTAGTGGATAACTATTTCCAAAAATTAAATAAAGGTCGTTGCCCATGGTCATGAAAGTATGTAGTTGCTATGTAAAAAGAATAAAAAAATAAATAAATTGAGGATGAAATTAGTGTTACTAGAATCAATATAGTCACTATTTAAAATCTAGTAAATATTCTAATTAATATTGGTTACATAAAAAGATGTATGAGATTTAAAATGATGAATGAGAAAACATGAATACTATTGTGGATGAGGTTAGAACGAAATTAAATTATTATCCTGATTCTTTTAATAAAAACTTATTAAGTGATGAGATTGATAGGGACTTTTGAATTAGTTTTAATATAAGTGACTTGGTATGTTTTTATTTAAATAGACGACAATATGAGTATGAGAGTGATTAATTATATCCAACTTATTTTGAATTACTATATTATTATATCTTAATTTATCATTTGTATAACCATTCTTATTTTATGATTTGATCTTTAAATGTTAACATTTTACATCTTACTTTGAACAATTTATGACTTGCTATATTAGGATATTAATATGTTACATTTTAACCAATAACTAGGTTAGTATGTTAATATGTTACTTCATACTATATAGTTTGAATTAACTATAATACTTTTTATTTTACACAATTTGTTGATTTTGAAACATATGACTCAAGACATACATCTCATCACGAGGAAAATAAGTGCCCCATTACACATTTGCATAATTTTAAATTTTGTATGATACATACCAACAAAAGCTTTACTTTTACAAATCATATGCCAAAAAATCTATGAATGACTGTATCCTAATTGTATATAAACTCATCAATTGAATGCCCTAAAAATTTTTTGAATTCATAAACACCCTCACATATGTTTCAAAAATACTTTCCTTACACAGGATCATGTCCAATCCTTCCATTAAAATATGTAGTTGTATTGTATGAGTATACAATCATGATAAAATTAAGGGCAAACTAGATATCAAAACAAAATCAAATAAATAAATAAACTTGTTTGGGTATGCTTTAACCTAAAAATAGTATAAAATTTTCAACCTATCACAATAAGGACATTTGTTACAATTGATATATCGTTTATTGAAACAAATCTTAATTTGAATATCATCTTTAGAAACATGAAAACTGGAATGTAGTTACTTCAAGAAGCATTTTTTTAAATAAATTTCAAAACATTTTAATGATGTATTTGTCATGTAAATAAAAACTTATTTCAAGAAATAATAATAGCTTAATATTGAATGCTTTTAAAAATAACTATAAATCCTAGACAAGATCATCATTATGCCAATAGAAGTGGAGAAAATATGAAAAATATCTTCGGACAGATATATACAAGAAAAGTATCATCTATTGGAAAAGAATCTAAGGCTTCGTTTGAGATAAATTTTCATCTCCGTTGAGTTGAACAGAACGGCAAAAACATTATTCGATGATGTTTGTTATATTAACTGAAAAATGCATTTCATTTGAATTCCAAAATTGAATCTAATTTCCTTTGGCAAGTTACCACAGAAAAATAAATGTGTACGAATATCAAGTATTTCATAGAATATTATACTATTGTTAATATACTTCCAGAAAAATAAATTTCTCCTGAAACTTACAAAATAAAATGTTCATATTGAACTTCTTTAACACACAAACAATGGGATTATATAGTTTACTGATAAAATAGCATGGTAAATCAACTTTCTGTTGGGTTTAATAAAAGCCTTCATAAAGCTATCGAACATCAATTATATGCCAAACAAGCCATGAAGAATGCAGTGACAAAATAAAACTAGTTTCATCATTTATTTTATTTTCTTATTCTACAAATTGCCTCTCAAAATAGATACTAATACATACCAAGTTCTCTCGAGAGCATACTGATGCTCCTTCAAAAGGTTCTGTCAGACAAAAAAGGGAGAAGCAAGTCAAAACACCTCCAAGACGTAAATAGTAAGAAGCCTAGTGTAACATAATAAGAAAATAATTACCAAACAGTTCTAAAACTTCCATTAAAAAGCATGGTAAAAATATATAATAAAAAACTTGGTTATTGAATGAGTTAAAGAAGGTTGACTATTTCAATATTGACGAACTACCTGAAAGATAATTTACATGAGAACTAGGAGACCACCAAGGTCGAAGCTGAAGATCTTCATTAAATGTCAAGGAATTTAGTCTCTTATCACTTGACAGCTCTAACAATTGCATTCCAAAGTCCAATTTTTCAAGAATGCACTACAAATATTTTAAAAAAAATTGTTAATATTACACCAATAAGATGTTGTTACGACAATATGTCAAGGGAAAAGGAGCAGAAAGGAAAAAAATTATGTGAGGAGCTCCTAACACAAATGCTGTCAAGAATGATTTCTTGTTGTGTCAAGTGATATTGATTATCTATATCAAGTAATTTTATACTTAATTGTCAATCAAAAAAATAATGATGATATTTACAGTAGTTTTGAAGAAAAAAATAAAAAACTATGAATACATATACATAAAATATAAAAACATGAAAAAAATGCTAAATGCCATTTATCACAACAATAGACTAAACTTAACCACAATTGCGCAAAGAGCACCTGAACTTCTTTTCAAAAAGGATAGGGTGCTGGTGCCACTTTTTCCCCTCCATGCCACCAACAAAAAGCATAAAACCCACACCCCAATGCCAAGGAACCAGAAATTTAGGGGAAAAAACAACATGGTGGTTATTATTATTGTTCTAAATATAAAAAATAAAAAAATAAAAAAGCATGACTTTTCCATCATTCCACATTGAAGATAACCATGGTGCAAAGAAGCTCTACAACAAAATTTGAGGCGGTCCTAACCTTCGAGAATAATAAATATGTTACCTCAGCTTCTTCAAGGGTAGGCCTATTATACATCCCTAACATTATGTTGATCTCCGTATCTACTTCACAAGTTGAATCATGCGGACTTCAAAAAGAAAAAAATGGCACGGCATGAAATGAAATGGGTTCAAAACTACCCTAACCACAATGGAAATTGCTCAAATGATGCTCATTCCACAAAACCAACTTGATTGATTCATTCAAAATTTTAAATTCACATAAAAGAAGATTGACATTGTCCAAGGCATTGCATGACAAAAAGGAGTAAAAAAAATCTACCAAAAAAGTGAGCAAGCCTTGCTTTTTATGTGAAGTGGACGACACAGACGTGTTCAGAACATCGAAAATACCAAAAAGGAACACCAATATTGTCATATATGCTGCTTTTTTCCATTATGAACTCTTCATGAATTGACTTGAGTATATGCAAACTATACATATTAGATACAAAAGCTTTATAAGTTGATAATTTCTCATCAGCAATATAATCCTGGAAAGAATAATTTGTGAACTTTCCATGTCTTCTCAATTGAATTCCACCTTCCTTAGAACTTCAAAGATGTGTGAATTTTGGTTTGGTAGTGAACAATCCCATGGTTTCATATTATTTTTATCCTATTTAGTGAATTTCTCTCTTAGTATACACACGTAATTCCTTGTTGTCAATCTCAAGTGAGATGTTCTAAACTAGTGGAACTTGGGAGATAATGGTTAGAGGGAAGGAGAATAGGTTGTGATGATTCTAGATTTATGTTAAAAGAATAGCTTTCCTTGAGTACGTATAGACCTTGATGCAATTCAGAGTAGTGAATCACTTTCTTCAAATCCAACACCTGAATTTCACAAGAATTAAGAATTTAACAACACAGTTCAAGTCATGTGTAAGCTTGTTAATTGAAAGTAAGTTACAATCTACTTGAGGAACATATAGCATAAAAGAGAGCTGAATATATTTGAAACCATTCGCTTCTCCTTTTGCAAAAATCCTGAAGTGAAATCCATTGGCAAGTCTAACAAATTTGGAGTCGGTGAACTCTTGATAGTTTGTGGCAGCACGAACATCTCCATTCATGTGATTAGAAACACTTGAATCTATTATCCAAGGTGAAAACCTTCCATCATTAGCGAAATAGAAGTAGGAATTGATACATTGGCTTATCAATAAGTTGGTAGGCCGCTCAATTATGCTAAAAAAAGTTGCTTCAAAACCTCCAGTTATTCCTTTGTGAAGAGGCTAGGGTTGGTCGATCCCTTCAAACAAAGCATCAGCATGGGCCTTACTATCTTGGTCTTTCCTGCCTTGCTCGGGGTTCCAATTTGCATATTTGACATGTAGTTTCCAGCACTTGTTCTTTGTGTGATCAAACTCCTTGTAATGTTAACACAAGAAACAATTCTTCTTTGGCTTCGACTCGTGGGTGGGATTGTGTGTGATAAGGCAGAGCTTTCAGTGTTAGAAGACTCCACACTTCTTGCCATTATGAGCTATGTCCTACTTTCTTCTCTACTTGTGACTTCAGCAAAAGCTTCCCTAGCTGTAAGGAGGGGCTTCATTCCCATGATTATTTCTCTGACCTCATCAATGTTCTTATTCAGACCAAATAAGAGCTTGATCACCCTCTTCTTCTCTACTACTGTTTTATACAACATAGCAGCTTGAGAGCACTCCTATACATAAAGTATCATACATATATAACTATAACCAGTATTTAATAAGTGTGTTGAAATATTGAGTTAAATTTAACTCTTCTTATCGGAGCTCATGTAGTTTTGTCTCGATCTCAAACAACTTTATAGTGTTTTCCGTACTGAACAACTCTCACGAGTTGCTTCTTAAATTTTCTATGTTGACTTGTGATGCAAAAAAATTTTCTTCAATCTCTGTTACCATAGAATATGATCCTAAAACTTCCATGAATGATAGTTAAGATCAGCGAGCTCGGGAGCTATGTCATCTCCCTTGAGATGTTTCCCTTTTTCTTTTTCATAAATATACACAAACACAGGTTGAGACCATTGAAAGAAGTAATGACTATTTAGTTTATGATTTGTTATAAAATGAGAGGGTTACGGGGTTTTTTGGATAGCATTCTTGGTTTTTGATTTAGAACTAACCTCCAAAATAGAGATAGACATCATGTCGTACTTTGTTATAAGCCCTATGCACGTTTAATGCTTCATAAGGGGAAGAAGGAATTCTGGACTGCTTCTTGCTGTGATGCTAGGCCGCAGTTTGCTACAGGAAATTTGGGACAGTGCTCAGATTTCAGTTTGCACATATCCAAGAAGATGGCCCTGCAGGGAGAAGATCACTTGCGGGAGAAGACTCTTGCGAGAGAAGATCTCTGCAGCGAGCAGCCTGCAGGAAACCTGGCTGGAACTTGGAGACGGCCATGTAGGTTGAAGATACACTTCGTCTTGAAAGCTTGTAGGAAGGACCGCCAGAAAATCCTGCAGGGAGGACCGCTTGAAAAGACAAGTTTTCACTACCGGGAGAGGGAGAATTTTGCAGGGCTGCGCTAGCTGCTACCAAATCCTACGGCTGCTCTAGCTTCTGCTACCTGCGACTGATCTTAGAGTAGCTTGCAGATAGACAGCTGCAAGGAGAGGAGCCAGTGGAGGGCCGGCAAGGACTGGAGGCTGCAGGGAGAGGCTCTTGCAGAGGAAGGAGAGTTGGGGTTTATTTCCAGTCTTTGATACCATGAAGGAAGGAGGAGAAAACATCTTCTCTTTTTTTTAAGCATCAAATTACAACTCTTCTTCTTATATAATACATTAGGGTGAGGGCAAACTTAATTACAACAATTACAACTAACCAAATATAAAACAAGTCAACAAAGAAAGAGATATAACCCTTCTTTGAGGATAAAAGAGAATTAAATTAAAATAGGAAACTCAAAACTCACACTAGCTATCATCCTCTCTCTAAATAAAGAGCGTAAAATCCTTCTCTCTACACACAAATGCTTGCATGGATGCACATGCACCCTATATATAATAAAAGAAAAAAAAAATTTGCAAGCCAAAAAGGGTGAAGGAAATAAGAGATAAGAAAAAAAAAAAAAAGAAACAAAAAGGGAAAAAAAATAGTGTGTACTCCTTGCCACAAAAATCCTATTGCCTTGTCCTCAACCTTTCGAATGAAGGTTTAAAAAATGCAGCTCAAAAAACTCACAAAATCTTGTTTGGAATGCATTTAGCGTGACAGTCAAAACTTTTGTGCGTATTTGCTAGCGCAATAAAAGAAAAATGTTGTAATGTTTGCGATGTAGCAGCTAAACCAATGCACGTTTAATGCTTCATAAGGGGAAGAAGGAATGTTGTAATGTTTGCGATGTAGCAGCTAAACCTAATAGAGCTGTTCATAACATGGTCCAAAACTTCAAATATACTTATTGAGTCGTGTTGCTCTAACACGGTAAAGAAATCCCTATCATATGTTTCATGCAGGTATCTTATGCCATCTTTCTTGACGTGATGGATTTAAAGACAATGTTTGTGATGTCTTACAGCACAAAACATGTGTTTTCTTTTTAGCATGGTAGGAATGCTTAGTATTCCTGTAGACGCCCCCATGCAATGGAGACAGGAAGGTTACTAAAATTTTCAATGAAGGAGCCAACATAGCATCCAAGAATAACATAAATTTTGCTGGATTTCTATAAATATTACTTGAATAGCTGAAAAAATAAAGTGCAAAATATAAAATATAAAAATGAAAATCAACAATCTAAATGCAATGTCTGTCGCTATGCAAGGAACATAAATAAATCCACAACGGACTTGATAACTCACCAACGAGCATATATACAACATTTCAATGAATGCTTGAACTACATTACAAGTTGATTCGAATGAATTGAAAAGAGCCAAGAAAGAGTCCGTATGGGACTCCTAGTGAATCTGAAAACTTGTTTATGGACATGAACTTCTCATTGAACACTCAGAATTTAGCAAATAATGGAATGAATGTAAGCAAGTTAGACTCTTTAAACACAGAACGAAAATCTAGATCAACCCCATTTGTCATCAGATCTGTACATGCAAGCAAGCAAAAGACAACCTTGTAAAAATTCAAAACAAAACTTGCACATATTCTAATGACAAAATATCCAAGCAAATAATTAAATTTGAATGATTATCATGTCTAGCACATTCTTTTAGAAGCATACATAACCCAAAAACACGCTCAATTACATGCAAATGCTATATATTCTGTAAACTGAACATAAAGTTTATAAAAATAAATATATCCATATGTGCTCTGACAAATATATTAAGCGTCTAAACATAATGACTGTGAATACTATGCAAACCAAAGGAAATATGAATTCAAGCTTTCCTAGCTATGAGAACTATGCGACTACTTCAAAGATGCATTTCTTTTACAAAAATTGCAAAGTTTTTTTTTTTTCAATTAAAACGAGAGTATTAGCATATTCAATGATATTTTCGAACATGCCACAAATTCAATCCTCCACATAACAAGCATTTGAGTTATCAAAACTTGCAAAAGAGCGTGATACATAAATTCATATTTTTTGCCTAATACAACTAACCCCTCCTTACAGAATATGAATCAAACGATAAAGATCTTGAACTAAAATTAAAATATCGGATTATCATGATCTATTTATTAGAATGATCTATTTATTAGAATAGTAGAATAGCGAACTAGGACTATATATGTATTACAATATACAATACAAAGAAAATAAATAAGAAAAAAATAGAAAATAAAAGAAGGAGGATTTTCAATGCAATATATAAAAACATATATCTCAACGGCACATGTGTTAACCACTTTATGTTTTGGGTGTTTACAAACCTTAAAGTTTTCTTTTATTTTCCATTTGCAAAAAGCCATAAATGGATTTTTATGAAGAAAATTCACTTAAAAATGAAGCACTTTATATGATTACACTATCAGTAAAGATAAAATTGACATGGTCTGCAGAGCAGTGATTTCAATATAAATTCAACCTATATAATCATGGACTCGGTCTTATACAAGCAAAAGTTAATAAAATCTAAAATAATAAAATAAAATCAAGCAAATACCCCGATGATACTCTTGCTGATCGGAGAGTCTCAAACGGAGGGGTTTTCTATTTTCAAAATGTCTAAAATACTAATATAACTCATGTTGAATACAAATCAATAAAAAATTACAAACTATCTCAAAATAGATTATTAGAATGTAAAAATTTTCATGAGTAATTTACTACTTTAAAATGAACAAAAAAAATCATCCGCCCTCCACAATAGTTTATTAAAAGCAATAAATTTAAGATTAATCTAAGTTTATAAAGAATCAATATTGTATTATGCATACTTTTATGGTCATTCTTGAATAATATCACATTAGTAAGACCGTGACATGTGGCATCTCATTATATGATTTTGCAATAAAATAGTACTAGACGAAAAAAAAGTAGATATTGAGCTCATGGCCAAAAACAAGATATCCCCTAATGGCTAAGCCTTCATTAAATTGTGAATCATAGAGTGCACCTCAAAATACACAAAACGTTATCAACTAAGGCCCACTTATAATTGTCCTCTTGAAGAAACATTCAACCAAGTTTTATATCTCCTTCATGAGCAACGCAACCCATAGCTACTAAAAAGATTACTTTGATCAAATCAAGTTGGCCATCTCTTTTTAGTGAGTAGACTAGATCCCATGATAATTGGGGACAACGAAACAATGGGATCCCTTCACCATCTGCTCAAAGCTAAAGTGATAAAGTTCATCCATCTAAAATTAAACTTGCTAAAACTACATGCTAGATATACATACTAACCTTAATCAACAATTTTCTTCAGTCAATGGAGATATAATTAACTATAAGAGCTTGCGTTTACAAGAGACCTAGAACTAGATCATGAAGTCCTCATAAATGAGAGAATATTTTGAATAGTGTCTTATCTAAGAATCAAATATCCCTTCTAAAATTTTGACATGGAAGACAGATAAAAACACACTTGAGTCGGACGCGAACTTACAAAGCCGATACTTTTTTACTTTACAAAATTGTAGATTAACTAAGCCTTTAATTCCTTTCAGATGCTTTTCATTGAAAACAAGAAGGCATCCATTGCCTTCCAGATTTTCTCTTTGGACAATACCTGCTTTCCTAGTTTACAATCAGTTCCTATTTTCCTTCTTGGATCAGTGTCATTGCCTGCCTTAACTTTCCCACATCTTCAAAGACAATCTAGCTGCAATTATTCATGTAGTAAATTTAAAATTTCAACGATGGCCATTAAAAAACACTTGCACATGTACAATACAATATTTTGGCTTACTTATTTTTTGCTAATGTTATATAAATACTAACAATATTTTCACAGAAGATTCCATTACTATAAAAAATAGTAGATATTTTAGCAAGAATGATAATAGCGTTAGTGAGAGGAAAAAGATGAGGAAGATAAAAAGTGTGATATCAATCACTCAAGCAAGCAGAATTGTAGTATGATAATTAGTTTGCAGGGAAAACTGGTACTAAGAAGGCAAAGATGATAGACAAACAAAAAAACAGAAATATAGGCTATTTGTTATTTAGCTAGGGCATTCGCGTTGTGAAAGTTTAGATGTAAGCCAACAATACAAACACTATGGGCATCAAAGCAAAAAAAAAGAAATGTTAAGTAAAAGAAACTATGAAATCTCCAAAGGAAGTAAAAAATGCTGGAGGCAAAAAATAGGAAAAGAATGCACAATACTTGGAATCAGATCAAAAAATGATTTTACATATCATTTCATCCTCAAACAATAAATACTTAAAAATAAATTGATTCAACAAGAAAAAAATTAAATATTTATTATTAAGCTTTTCTTTTCTTTTTAATTCTATTTTGATGTGGGTTTCCGGTATTCATTAAAAAAGCAAATGCACTTTAAATTTAAGAGCACTGTCACACTTGTATCAAAATGTGGTTAGAGCTGGAACAATCAGTGGTCATCAGCATCAATAACACAAACACCATTACATCTAAGCAATTATTTCCCGGGAGATAAATGAATCAAGTCGTATATTTCATAACTTTAAAGTTAAATTATAATCCAAAACACAATATTGAAGACGAAGTGCAAAATATAGCACAACATTAAGGTTAAACATCAACTAACATAACGGAAAAATCATAAAATGATAGAGCCAAAACCATGTAATGCAAGTTAGAATTCAATATATGAGAAACAAAATGCTGCTTTTTATGGAGGAAACACTATAATCTGACATGCATGCATAAAAATCATTACATAGAAAAAGAGTTACACAATTGAATCACACTAATGGACGTGGAAAAATATAAGACTAAGAATTCAGCTATCATGACGCTTTCAATTTCCAAATGAACAAAATTCAGTAAACCAGAGATTTTACAACCGATGAAGTTTTCATAATAAATCCCATCAATGACAGAGCAGCAATAGTCTAAATTATGCCAATGGAATCAAGTTATCATAATAGGTCACCTGAATTTTAAAATGAGCAGGAAGCAAATTCAATTTTTCAGTTGATTTTTGCTTTATGAAGAATGAACTGTGACCATGATAATCTAGAAAATTGGGTACTGAATTAAGGAAACAATTTTTGTTACCATTCAATTTCACAATGCAATAAGCATAAAATTTAAATAGAGAATAACTGGGACATAGAAATTGAAAGGGATTATTACAGTGATGATACAGCATCATACTTTGGAGTAATTACGATGGCGATAAGCCAAAAAAGTTAGATCAGCAGCTTCTCTTAAATAATCATCCATAAACTTGAGATAATCTTTTAGAAGAGCAGAGGTTTCTGAACAAAGGGGTGACACCAACAACTGCGGTACAATATGGTGGGATACAGTTTCAAATAAGATGTTCTTTATATCCAGTGTACCGTACCTGAACAAGAAAACAAAAATAACATAGCGGCATTTCAAGTGCTGATGCAGCTATATAACTTGCTAGAAAGCTATACAAAAGATAAAATCAGCAGAGCCACTATTTGATTTTCTGAGAATTTTACCATTCATATGCCAATGGAAGTGCATTAACGTACGAATATAGATGCACCAAAGAAAATTTATATTGCCAAACATATCTGCACAACAAATGAAGAAGGCACACGCTAATTATTAGGTAGCTCCAAAGAGAATGATTTCATAAACAAGAATGTGGCTCTAGTTCTATTACAAATATAGATGAGCAAGATTGTAATAACATTTTACAGTATTTAAAGGACAATAGAGACAAGATCCATAGCATAATAAGCAGTTCGTTGAGGCAAAAATTGAAAGATAAATATTCAAGTTTTTCCTAAAATGTTACTAAAATCAAAAAGACAAAACAGTTAGTAGGTCATCATTAAAACTAGTAATGAACCAAAACTGAAAAGACTACTACAACAGCTTCATGCCATCATTTTGCATCTCCTGTAATAATAGCTTTGAAATTTAATGCAGGCCATGTTAGAATTTTTGAATGTAAAACCATAAATCCCAAAAAAAAAAAAAGTTTTAAAAAAACTATCTTCTAGGGAAATTTTGACAATCATTGAATTAAAAAATTTAAAAATGGCCACATATAGCCTTAAAAAAAAAACCAGCAATATTTAAATATAAAACTTCAAAAGGTTCCCCTGTTTTGTACGAGGGCTTGCATTATAACCTGCAAAAACATTATTGAATTTAGAATAGTATAAAGAAAATTTAAACATAGATGTTAAAATATATAACAATAATTCTATTTTGCAAAGAGAATTTGTAGGTACAACGCATTTTAATTAGGTAGCTATGTATAATACTTTTCAAGTATCGGTCATTAATTTGTGGCATTAGTTGAGCATTAAGGTAAATGAAACGATACGCTCCACTTTGATATGATTTCTAAATAAAGATGGGGCCCACCTACTAAGCTTTAATTTTGTTACCGATTCTTTGATGGGGAATAATAGATCTTCTAAACATTAAAATAGATTCTCCTTGGAATAGTAGATCTTCTCAAAATTAAAATGTGTTACCGATTCTTTGATGGGTAATAAAGGATCTTCTCAGCATTAAAATATATACTTCACTCATTTCTAAAACAAAATTCAAATTCCTACATCTGATAATGCTATAAAATATTTTAATTCCATCCCTACTCCTTATCTTTCAAAATAGGATATTATTCATATAAGTTATAGTGTGGATACTCCTCAACAACATGGAGTCACTGAAAGGAACAATAGACATATTTGAGGTGGTGTGCCACTTAAATCATTAGTTAGATGTCAAGTAGAGTCCTAAAACTTCAAAATCCACATAATATTCTCACAAAATCCTACCGATATATAGCTCTTTTTCTTTCTGACTTATCAATTATGATTTTTTGTTATTTTGCCTTTGTTCACATCCATGAACACCACATTAAACTTGATCCCAAATCTTTCAAATGCAACTTTCACAGTTACTCTAATAAAAAAGAATGCAAATTTCACTCTCCAACCACTAGGAAAATATACAATTTCATGGATATCACCCTTTTATAGAATCAATCTTATTTTCCCAAATATGAAATTGGGTGATGGGGGTGAAGCCAAGAGAATATCATATTTGGAATTTTTTTCAAGGTATTATAGGCATTTTTCTTTCAACAAAAAAATAAAAGTGAAAGATTTGTTGTATCAAACAAAACTGCATCTGCCACTACAAGGAATCATCAAAAAACTTGAAATGATGACACGAAAAAATAGGAGTATTGGATCGAACAGCTATAGGTTTGATCCATCATTTACTTACCTCATCTTCTACATAATGAATGAGAAAATATGATAGAACTCATGGCAGCACTGACAATGATGCATGAAAAACCTTTAGCATCAATAAGATTTTTTTAGATAAAGAGATTACTCAACATAAAAATGATGGAAGAGTTGAACACTTGAATCATTTCAACGTTGTAACTAGTTAGTTGTGTTTTGCAGGTATCAAATTCAATGATAAGGTTAGAGAACTATTAATTCTACCTTCATTATCGGACAGTCGGTATGGATTAGTCGTGGCAGTAACTCTTCAGGTAATATAAAGTTGAATTTTGAAGAAAAAAGGGAGTTAAGGATGAATGATGAAGTTTGCAAGAAGGCAGCGAGCGGTGAATATTCAAGTTTTGTGTTAAATGTTGAGAATAGAAGATAGAATACAGACAGGAATGCAGGAAGAGACAGATTCAAGGACAGGAGAAGAATGTTTAGATCAGGAAAAGGAAATGACATATGTGAATGCTAGAACTGCAGAAGGAAAAGTCATTTCAAGAAGGATCGCAAAGCTCAAAGGAAGGTTGGTGGGGGAGACCAAGTCAAAAATCTCTCTACAAATATCTTCACAGGTGAAATCCAAGATTACCCCCTTATCTTATCCCTAGTCAGTATTACATCTTAGATAATAGATTCAGGAGTCCCTTTTCATGCATGTCCCAACAAAGAGATTTTTAAAAACTATACTCAAAGTGGGTTAGAAAATGTATATTTGGGAGAATACAAGATCTACAATATCATAGAAAAGAGTAATGTTAATATCAAGTGATCAAATATAACAGTCTAAAAGCTTAGTGGAGTTAGACATATTCCAATTTAGAAGAGAAATATGATCTCAGTGAGCTAGTTGGCAAAGTCATGGTATATGACTACTTTTAAAGATTATTCGTAAAAGGCGACCAGGGGGCAATGATGATGGTTTGAGAACATTGAAAGCACCCTTTACATGATCAACGAGAAGACATAATTCATTACTATGAATGGAACCAATGTTGATGCAGGTCTTTGACACTATAGGCTAGGCAATATGAGAGAGAAATGTGTACAGTCTCTACTTTCAAAGGACAAAATTTAGGTTATAAAAATTTTGAATTAAGAATTTGGTGAAGATTTTTTATATGGAATGCAGAAGAAAATTTCTCTCCCATGGTGGGTCAATGGAGAAGCCAAAGAAGTTGAAGCTGGTATATACTGACGTGTGGGGTCCTATTCCAGTTCAATCCATTAGAAATTCCTACTAGCTTGTCACTTTCATTGACGATTACACCAGAAAGGTATGAGTTTAGTTCTTACAATATAAATCTTATGTATTTGAAGTGTTTAAAAAGTGAAAGAGTATGATAGAAAATGAGACAAACTTCAAGCTAAAGTAACTCAGATCAGATAATGGGAGCGAGTACCATGATGAGATGTTCATGTAAAATTGTGATTCAAAGGGGATCAGACATGAGTTCACTGTTCCAAGAACACTATACTAGAATGGTGCAGTGAAGCACGTGAATTGAACCATTATAGAGCGTATCAGGAGTATGCGGTTGCATTTAGACATGCCAAGACAATTCCGGGCAAAAGCAGTGAGCACTGTTGTTTATCTGATCAATCGTGGTCCATCAGTACAACCGAAGAAATTCTTAAATGAAGAATCCTAGAGTAAAGAAGTAAATGTATCCCACCTAAAAGTATTTGGTTGTTCTGCACATGTTCATGTTGATGTAGGGTTGAGGGATAAACTTGATTCGAAATCAATCAGGTACATTTTTATTGGGTATAACTAAAATGAATTCGAGTAAGAATTCTGAAATTATTAGAATCAGAATTTTATCAGAAGCTGGGATGTCACTTTCTATGAAATGAAGATGTACAATTGCCCGCCAATTACTTCTAAAGAGTCCGTATATACTGAGATGAAACATATTGGTGATCAGGAGCATGGAGAAAGGAGAAGCACCTAATCAGATAAAACACAGTAAGTTCTACAGTCACTTGTCACTAAAGATAGGAGGTCCGACAAAATTACACAACCAATATAAAAGTATTCACCTTCATTATATTATTTATTACTAACTGATAGAAATGAACCATGGTGTTATGAAAATTACACTCAAGTTGAAAATTCAAAGGAGCAGAAGTTTATCATGGATGAAAAGATGCAGTCAGTGAGATTGAATTGGACATGCAATTTGATGGTATTATCAAATGCAAAAGAGCACTACACAACAAGTGGATCTACGGACTAAAATGGGAGTCGCATATTAGCAGATGCTACAAGGCAAGATTTCTTGTGAAGGGGTTTCAACAAAGGAAATGAGTAGACTATAGTGAGATCTTTTCTCGTATAATAAAAATGACAACTATCAGAGTTATATTTAGCTTAATAGCAGAGGAAAGTCTGCATCTTGAGCTGACAGACTTCTTACATGGAGATCTACAAAAGAAAGCGTATATGGTGTAACTGTGGGTTATGGATTTCCAGAGAAAGAAGATTTAGTCTGCAAGTTGAAGAAGAGTCTCTATGGCTTGAAACAGACCCCAAGACAATGGTACAAAAGGTTTGAAATGTTCATGTCAAACAGTGGATATATGAAGTGTCAGATAGACCACTGCTGCTTCATTAAAAACTGAAAATATTTATATCTTCCTATTTTTTGTATGTGGACGAACTTCTGATTATAAGGGCAAATATATAAAAAATCAGAAACTTCAAAGAATCATCAAGAGAGTTTGAGATGAAAGATTTAATTCCAACCAAGAATAATTTCGGGATAAGAATCAACAGGGACAAAATTAAAGGTACACTGAAGTTATCTAAGGCAGAATATGTTGAGAAGATCTTACAAATGTTCAATATGAAGAGGCAAAACTAATTTGCAACCCCCTTAAATAGTCACTATAAGCTATCTAAAAACTATCATCGAAATCCAAAATAGAGCAAGCACAAATAGGGAGAACTTGGTATCATTTAACAGTTGAAAGTCTGATGTATGCTATAATATGTATGAGATCAGATATTGCACATGTAGTGGGAGTAGTCAGGAAGTACATGGGCAATCCAATCAAGCATCATTGGAAGGCGCTAAATTGAAATCTCATATATTTGAGAGAAATGATCAACATGACATTTCATTTTGGAAGTGCAAAAATTGATCTACAAGGCTATAGGTTCAGATATGGTAGTAGATATAGATGAACAAGAAGTATAATATGGCATGCCATCACTTTAGGGAACACAGTGGTGAGTTGATTTTCGAGATTGCAAAAGATTGTAACACTTTCAACTACAGAAATCGAATACATTGCTATCACAAAAG